CGGAACTTCGGAGCCGGTTTGCGAATCATTTGATTCAGATCGGAACTTTGGAGCGGGTTCGCAAATCATGTGATTCAGATCGGAACTTTGGAGTGGGTTCACGAATCATTTGATTTAGATCGGAACTTCGGAGCGGGTTCACAAATCCTTTGATTTAGATCGGAACTTTGGAGCGGGTTCGCGAATCATTTGATTCAGATCGGAACTTTGGAGCGGGTTCGCGAATCATTTGATTTAAATCGGAACTTTGGAGCGGGTTCACGAATCATTTGATTTAGATCGGAACTTTGGAGACGGTTTGTGAATCATTCGATTCAGATCGGAACTTCGGAGCGGGTTCGCGAATCATTTGATTTAGATCGGAACTTTGGAGCGGGCTCGCGAATCATTTGATTTAGATCGGAACTTTGGAGCGGGCTCGCGAATCATTTGATTTAGATCGGAACTTTGGAGCGGGCTCGCGAATCATTTGATTTAGATCGGAACTTTGGAGCGGGCTCGCGAATCATTTGATTTAGATCGGAACTTTGGAGACGGTTTGTGAATCATTCGATTCAGATCGGGACTTCGGAGATGGTTTGTGAATCTTTTGATTCAGATCACACAAATCGCAATTTTTTTCTGATTTCTTTCTTTTTTTAATTAAACAGAACAAAACATTAAACCATTAAGACATTACAGTCATAAAAACAAAAAGAAAAGTTGTAGTAACAAACTTGCATAAACTGCTTAGACTAGTCTTAAAAAGTTAGACATCTATTTATTCCAAGGTCTAAATCTATTTATTCCAAGCCTTGCCAGCCGAAACATTCAAGCAATTTTAAAGCTTTCAAGCACAAGACGACACAAAACAAGTCAATTCAGCACTCGCACAATTGAGCGCTCTTTCACGTCTTCATGCGCTTTAACGGACAAATACATACAGAATCATGTCAACATACTCGTCTTGGTGAGTATTCACGAAAACTGTTGCTTATATTGTAAATCAACAGAAACAGCTGATAAAGATGTGCATCATTAAACTGAATGAAGTCTATAATAAACAGAACATTATTATTATTATTATTAAAGCTACGGCCCTGGGATGAACAGAGCGTCTAATAGTTCCCATATACTTGTCTAGATCAACTCTGAATAAAGAAAATAGAGGTTCAGAGCCAGATTTCTGTTAATGTAAGGACATTTAGCAAGCAGGAAACATAATTAATCAAGTTATATTTTCCTATATTCTCTTTTGAGTAAACAATATAAAGAAAACATCTTTAAAAAAGAAAGAGAAGTCAGAAAATTAGATCGATTGAGTAAATCTGAGCAAAATGTCTCGGTGTGCTTCATTGCCAAACAAGTGAATCTTCCTCAGAAGAGATAAAAAAAAAACATCTTGTATTATAATTGCATCCATAAGCTTTTAGTGAACTCATGAATCTGTTGTTTGAGCTCTTCATATTTAAGCAGTTATTGTTGTCTGCTGTTACTGTATGCTCCCACCGATGCCGAAATCAAACATACGCCCTTGACATTATTATTTGCTTAGAAAAAAGTCCCATTACATATATGTTCGAATTCATCTTTTTTTAAACAACATCCAATTTTGAATCAAATAAACTAGACAAGACAAAAAGAGCAGTAATTAATGGCGACAGCATGCACTTTCATTAATAGACTCGTATAGCCTAGTTTTTGAAAGACATCTCTTCTGCTCACCAAGGCTGCGTTTATTTGATCTAAAATGCTTTAAAATTGTGAAATATTATTACAATTCAAAACAGCTGTTTTCTCTGTGAATCTCTGTTAAACTGTAATGTATTTCTGTGATGTGCAGCTGTATTTTCAGCATCATTACTCCAGTCTTCAGTGTCACATGATCTTCAGAAATCAGTATAATATGCTGCGATACATTTCTGATTATTATCAATGTTGAAAACCCAATATTTTTGTGGAAAGTGTGATGCATGTTGTTTTTCAGGATTCACAGATGAACAAAGTTCAAAAGAACAGCGTTTATTTGAAACAGAAATCTTCTGTAACATCATAAATGCCTTTTCACTGATGCTTTACGGTCAAAATTCAGCATTGCATCACAGAAATAAATTACATTCCAGCATGCACTCACATAGACAACGGCTGTTTTAAATCGTAATAATATTTCACTTTTTTTAACTGTATTTTTGATCAAATAAATGCAGCCTCGGCGAGTTTATTCCGAACTGAAGTAGTGTAAACTGTGAGCTTTTACAGCAGCGGTGTTATATTCACACCACATGCATCAATGCAATCTAAATGAATAAATGCATGTCTGTGAATGCGGATCTTTACCTTCGACACCAGGAATCCCTCCATGTACTGCAGGATCTTTCTTGGATACGGCTCTTCTCCGGCCATGATCAGCGGCGTCTCTGTGTGTGTGTGTGTGTGTGAAACACTGAGGAACGCAGGCTCTTACACACACATAATCAGATTACACAGATTATCCGCATCCAGATTGAGCGCGCACAGACCTGCTTTAATCCAGAAGCTTTAAACTCTCAAAGCCAGAAGCTGCTTGTTCAGAGAGAACGAATGAATGAAGCTGATGCTTCAGCAGAACAACAGGATCATCCCGACCTGAAGATGCACAGCACCATTACAATCATACTAATTAACTCTGTTCATTAAGAATACTCATCATGTGTTACCATACCATAGTGAAATCATGTTTTTAATATAACCCAGTGTTATTTTAGTATCTTTAAAATGCTATCAGTTTTTCTTTCTGTATTTTCTGTTATTTTTTTTATTTATTTTAATTTGAAATTTGTTCATGTCTATAATTTTTGTTTTAAATTCTTATTTCAGTTTTAGACTTTTAGTATAAATCAAGTTAAACTAAATAAAAATGATTAAAGGAGCTGATTTTTCTTTTTTTTTGAAAGACGTTTTCTGCTCAACAGGGCTGCTTTTATTTGATTAAAAATACTTAAAAATTGTGAAATATTATTAGAATGTAAAACAGCTGTTTTCTCTGTGAATCTCTGTTAAACTGTAATGTATTTCTGTGATGAGCAGCTGTATTTTCAGCATCATTCCTCCAGTCTTCAGTGTCACATGATCTTCAGAAATCAGTATAATATGCTGATTTGCATATTTTGATATAACTTTTACATTTATGAATTTGGCAGATGGTTTTATCCAAAGCAACTTTGGAAACATTTGATCAGTTTAATGAAAACCTAATAATCAATTAAAAAAAAAAAATAAATAAAAACAACCAGAATAAAACACTTGCTAAAAAGAATAATGCTATAATAATATAATTAAATATTAAAAATATTTTATTTGTGATGCTGAACGTCACGTGAGCATTAACCATCACGAGAGAACCGTGAAACTGCAAACATCTTATTAAATTATTGAAATATTAACCTTAAATCTCAGGGTAACTGAATATTTGAGCTCAAATGGAGCAGTTTTTGACTCGATGAGAAACATAATTTGCTGAGGGGGAAATAAAAGAAAGAAAGAAAATAAAAATGAAAAAATAAAATATGCATGGTCCTTAAAAGGCTTCATGTTCTTTATGAAAAACATAATTTGTTAGGGGAAAAAAATAAAAAACCAATTTAAAACAAACAAAGCATTTAAATATAATAAAATAATTTACTGGGAAAAAAATTAAAATGAAAAATAAGACAGTTAAAAATTAGAAAACAAATAAAACGACTTAAAAAATGATTTAAAAAAAATAAATAAATAGAAATAAACTCTTCATGGTGGCAAGCAGGCTTCATGCTCTCTCTGAAGCTCATCGAGAGTGAAAGCGCTGAGGATCCAAAGCACTGCTTTATTGAGATCAATAACACGAGTTCATACGAGTCACAAACATCTTCAGCGTCTCCATCGTGTGCTTTCCTCTCAATACTGCACTGGTGTCGAGGAAAACAAAGCGTCCTATTCCTACACAACAGCACACGCAGAAACAGATCATATTAAACTCTCTACAACTTCAAATTCAAGTCATGAACCGAGGATTGTGGTCTATACAGCAGCTCTTCAGTACGGACTCAAACACAGCTCAGCCGTCCAGAAAACACAGATTTCACCTCACAATCAGAACTAATGATATCAAACAGGGCCTGATGTTAGGGACTGCATTTAGGGATTGTTTCTTGAAAATAATGCACTTTTTTCCCCTTCACATTTATCATCACGATGTGAATCTCATTAGTCGTTCAAATAAAACAATTAAATGTAAGGCATTTATACATCATGCCATTTCCTTTTTGTATTACTTTTAGTTTCACTGTCAAATTTAGTGTTAAAAAATATTATTAAACAAATATGAGAATAATGAGAATCACAAACTAATTGAAAGCAAGATTTATGAATGCATCACAGAAATTATTCTGAGAATTTGAAGAGAACTGAAGTAACCATAAACAAAGCCTAAATAACTTGAAACAAAAATAAAAAAATAAAAATGATAATACAAATAAAAATGAAATAAAAATCTGCATGGTCCTAAAACAGGCATCATGTTCTTTATGATTAAAAAAAAAATTTTAATAAAAAAATAAAATCTTAATTTTTTACAAATAATTAAGAATAAATCTAAATTTAAACATTGAACAAAAAATGATTGTTAATCCCTAAATAGGCAACATTATTTGCTGGAGGGGGGAAGAAAAAGAAAAATGAAAAAAATGAAATAATTAAGAATAAAACAAGAAAAACATCTTAATTCTTAAATAGGCAACATCATTTGCTGGGAATAAAATCAAATCAAATCAAATCAAATAATAAAGGCTTCTAAAACAGGCTTCACATTCCTTATGAAAAACATACAACATGCTGGGGGAAAAAACCTCAGTGTTCCTAAATCAGCTTTCTTTAAACGAAATGCATTTTCTTATGTTTTGTGTTCTATGACCTGGCTGTTCTCTCAGTATCGTCTGGATCGGTGACGCGAGCGTCTGCGGCTGCGGCTGCGGCTCTGGCTGCGTCTCCTGCTACGTCTGCGACTGCGTCTGCCGCCGTCTGCTTCGCTCTCTCTCCGCTTCTGCTGCTTCGTGGCTGCGCTGGCGTGCCTGCGCTGGTGCTGGTTCTGCGCGGCGCAGATCTGCAGGTCCAGATGGACGTCGTCAGTGTTGGTGCTCTTCTTGAGCAGGTTTCCCAGCAGTTTGTCGCGCAGCTGGCGCTCTCTCCTCTGCAGCTCCAGCGTTCGCTGCTTCTCGGCCTCCACGCGGCGCAGCTCGTCCTCCTGCAGCTGTCTGCGCTCCTCCAGACGTCTGCGCTCCTGCTGCTGCTGCTGCTTTAGCCTCTGCACACAACAGCATCAGCAGCTCACATCTCAAGTCCAGTCAGCTTTAGTTAGACAACAATACAGGTGGGGTCAAAGCAGCTTTACAGCATTAATTAGGAAAATAGTGTGTCAATAATGCTAAATTATAATAGTAAACACTCAATTTTCAGTTAAAATCCCAAAGCATGCTTGCAGGTTTTTCACCATTTTAATCAAAATCATTTTTATTAATCAAGAAGCATGTATAATTATTGAAATAATTTTAATTTACAATACATTTTTAATCAATAGTTTATTAAAAGTTTAAGAAAAAAATATTTTAAAGCCATATGAAATCGTTTTATTTTTTTCCCAAATATATATTTTTTTCTGTTTATACCGTATTAATTGTTAAATTAAAATTTAGATTTTAGTAATCAAAAAACAATTGAAATAATGAAACTTTAACAACAACTCATGTTTAATTATTGAAATAATGAACCTAATTAATTAATCAATAGTTTATTAAAAGTTTAAGAAATAAAATATTTTAAAGCCATTTTAAAATCTGTTATTTTTTCCCCGTATTTTTACCTTTATTGCCCCATTTTAATGTTTCTCAGTTTTAATGGTTAAATTAAATGTCAGTAACTTGAAGACATGTCTAATTATTAAAATAATAAAACATTCAGTTTTCTGTAACAATTTATCAATCATTTAAATATTTTAAATCCCTAGGAAATGTTTTATTTTTGTGTTTTTTTTATTCCCCCAAATTGAATTTTTTTTCTGTTCTATTTTTTTTTATTGTAATTTTTTTACCGTATTAATGGCTAAATTAACATTTGGATTTTTAGTAATCAAAAAGCAATTGAAATAATGAAACTTATACAATTTAACAACAACTTATTAAAAGTTTAACAAAAATTTAATTATAATTTTTTTTTTTTTCCAATTAAAATTTTTCTGTTTGTGAAATTGATAATTTTAACAACTTAATTTATTAACTTCTTTACAATAGCAGGGCCCTATAAAATACATTATATATTATTTATTTTTTGTTAATAATCAAATGAATAAAAATGAATATTTGAATAAATCTTTAAAATCTAATTAAATGAAAATGAACGATTCCTCTCATTTTTTGGGCTGCACAACTAAGGTTTAACTGTTAAAATTAAAACATGGAAGAAGAATCATGTTATTATTCCTTTAAGCTTTAATAATTGTATCATTATTTTCAGGGTTGGGAGGGTTACTTTTAAAATGTGTTCCGTTACAGTTACAAATTACTTCATTTAAAAAGTATTCAGTAACGTAATCAAAGTATCACAATATAAAAGTAATGTAATCGGATTACTTTTGGATTCCTTTTAGGTCACATATGTAAATAAAGTCAAAAAAGCAATATCTAAGTACTATATACTGTCAATTATGACTGGATTGTGCATAGACTCATAGCTATGGCTGTAATACGGTGCTATCTGTGATGAAGTGAACCTTGGCTCTGCTGAGCAGCTCTGCGATCAGCCGGATGGACTCCAGGTTCCTCTGAGCCAGCAGTAGCTTACGCTCCTCCGTGGAGATCTTCAGCTGGAGCTTCTTCTGCTCCTCCTCCTGCTGCTTCTTCAGCTTCTTCTGCGTCTTCTTCTCCTCCTTCTCCTTCAGCTTCTGCTCTCGTTTGCGCAGCTTCTCCTCTCTCCTCCTCTCCTTCTCCTCCTCCTCCTGCTCGCGCTGCTTCCTGAAACACGTGACAAAACTCTTCATTCAGAACCGGACAGATGACCAAACATAGAGCAACAAGAACAAGATTAGACACAATTAAAGACCGTCACAAAATTACACACACACACACACACACACACAGACACACACACACACACACACACACACACACACACAGACACACACACACACACACACACACACAGACACAGACACACACACACACACACACACACAGACAAACACACACACACAGACAAACACACTCCCACGCACACACAAACACACTCACAGACAAACACACTCACACGCACAGACACACACACACACAGACAAACACACACACACACAGACAAACACCCACACACACAGACACAGACACACACACACACACACAGACACAGAGACACACATCCACACAGACACAGAGACACACACCCACACAGAGACACACACCCACACAGAGACACACAGACACACCACACACACAGACACAGACACAGAGACACACACCCATACAGACACAGAGACACACAGACACAGAGACACA